AATTTGAATAACTACAATGTTGGCCAAAAGTTGCTTCGAAAACCCTTTTGCCATAATTTTGTAAGCTTCAAAACACTCCATCTTACATCAACAACAGCTTCGAAGAAAAAATAGTGATAGTTATGAACCTTCGAAACTTTGCCGAGTATTTCCAATGATGTAATTCGTCCTTTGTTAGCATTTTCGACCTTCGAATGATAATTTTAGTCCTCTAACCACCTTCGAAGCTGGTTATTTAGCATGTGTAACAGCTTGCTAAGGTAAATCATTGGCTTTGTCTTGAAAATATGTAGTTATCCTTCGAAACTTTTCTGCAATAATATCCCTTCAATACGTATATATATAATTCGCAACATCTAGTCATAATTTCATGCTCATTTGAAACAGTTTATTGGTGCTATTATATCATTCGAAGCACTTTATTGATATTATTCGAAGCACTTTATTGCTTAGATTAGTCATGTGCTTGGTTCAGCCCTTCAAAAATTCAAATAAACATCATTTTTAAGGGCTGCGGGGGGTAATGTTAGCACCATAAATCTGTAATTTTTATTATTATTTATTATTTATATAATTGCAAGACACGTGGCATCCTCTTATTCATTTGAAAGTTAAAAGAAGTTTATGGAGATGATGGAGAATATGAAGGACAAAGTGGATGAGTGGAAAGACACATGGTAAGACAAGAATGAAGATGGAAGAAATGGGTAGTTACTAAGTAGTTATTGCTGTATTTTTTCCTCCATAAATAGTCATTAATGGCTACATTGTAATGATCCAGAATTCAAATCAAAGACAATTGATTTCAATATTTCTTCTAATTTTCCTTATCTTAGGAGTAGTTTAACATAGATTTATATTTCGAAACATTTATTTTCAGCATTTTCATTTCGAAGCATTTTATGCACTTCCTTTTCGAAGCATAGGAGTAGAGGTAAATAATTATTACTTTGATTGTTCACTCAATCATTTTTTTCCGTCTCCCCCATTCTTCTTTTAATTTTTCTTTTCTCTACACTTGGCAATTTTAAAGTCCTCTTTGTTGAGGCAAAAGAACCATTAAAGCAATCGCTTGATAATTGGTTTGAATTTAATCTGTAAGGATTTTTCAATCCTTACTGGCACGCTCGTATTTATGATATTTTCCTTCGTAAGAAAAATAAGCCAATAATTTGATATACCTTTTTTGGACTGTGTATCAGAGAATTTCTCATGATATAGATCGGAAAAAATTTATGTACTGCAAGTTGTAACATAACCCTTTGATCTCAATTTAGAAAATGAAAAAATTATTACATGTTTAAAGAGTATCATGTGGCGCTATTAACCTAAGTAATATCAAACATAAAATACATATATTTTTTTTTTGGTTACCGTTCAAACTTATAATTAAATCCATCATAATAATAATAAAAAAAGTTACGTCATATACGTACCCTTCTCCACACCTAAAAAATTTCTCAAAAAATGACTCAATTTTTTAACGCACGCCTGGCGGAGCAAACGATTTCGATTTTTTCAAACAAACAAACGTGACGCAGTTTAATTAATTATTTATTTTCATTATTATTTAAAAAAGACAAAAAAGAATGAAGCTAACCAGACACCTGAATCAAGGTTAAAGTCAACTTGGGTAGTTATGGGGGTTGTGCAATGTCATGTATGGATGATAATATAGGATGAGGGGTCACGGTGGTGCCCCTGCTGTGGCTGCTGTGCCGTTCACCGTTTTTTTTTTGTTTTATTTTTTTTTTTTAAGGATTTCATTAACTTCTCATTTCATTATCACAAAAAAAAAAAAAAAAAAACATTTGATTGGCAGTTGTCTTTTCTTTTTTTTTTTTTTTTTTTTTTATGTTCTCACTATGTTTTTTGACATGATAAATTACACTTTGTTCATATATTTGGTCACTTTTTTTATTTTAATTCTTAATTTTTTTTTTAAGGTTTAGGGTTTAATTTTTAAAATTTATTTTTTTTATTTTAGGGCTTAGGGATTTTTTTTATTTATATATTTTAGAGTTTAGGATTTAGAGTTTAGGGTTTAATTTTTAAAATTTATTTTTTTTATTTTATGGTTTAGGGATAAATTTTTTTAATTTTTTTTTTAATTTTAGGGTTTAGGGTTTAATTCTTAAAATTTATTTTTTTATTTTAAGATTTAGGGATAAATTTTTTTTTTATTTTAGGATTTAAGGTTTAATTCTTCAAAATTAATTTTTTTTTATTTTTGTCTGATTTGAGGTTTGATTTTTTTTTTTTTTTGATAAAAAAAAAAAAAAGTTAATTCTAAAAAAAAAAAAAAAAAAAAAAAAACGGTGCCGTTTTGAACGGCATAGCAAGCACAGGGGTACCACCGCAGTAACCCCTCATCCGATAATATAATCAATAGTCATTTTCTAACCCCAAATAATAATGATAATAATATAACAGTCATTCACTCAAACTGATCTGATTGATGGAAAGAGTAAGAATCTTTTTTGTCCACAAGACAGCATTAAAATCATTTTAATAAAGAGCAATCACATGAGGTGGAAAAAAAAATACCAATAAATAAAAGGTATGAATGATATTTACACATTTATAATTTTTTATTTATACTCCACCGCAAAGAAACTTACACCCCCACCTGCATATAATTTTGTTTCTATCTCCTGCTACATGTAATTCCTCCTTTTAATAAAATAAAGCAAAAAAAACATAAAAACAAAACGGCACTGTTACGTAACTCGAAAATTAAATGACTTGAAATTTCAAAACGACGTCGTTTTAGGATATTTTTTGATTCTCTTACCGGTAAGATAATATTTTCGAGCCATTCGAGCTTTCACGCATTTTCCAAAACCAAAACAGAGAAAAAGAATACTAAAAGGGACATAATAACCTTTGTTTAATATTAATATATTGAGTAAATGTTAGAATGGCTAAATACATGGAACGCAAACTCCATTATATTACTAATAAAACTCTGTAGTATTAGAAAATATCGAATTAAAAATAGAATTTTATATTCAAGTATTAATTTATAAATTTTTATTTCATTTAATTTTAATTAAAAAGTTTTAAACTTTCAAGTCTTATTAAAATTTTCATAGTCAGAATTACTTTTTAAATAATGATTGTTCATCATTAATGATTATCTATAAAGGAACATGATGATTTGACGTTTATTTTGACCTTCAAAACTTTAAAATATCAAATTTTAACTTAAAAAAATTAATATATATATATATATGAAAAAAACTAATAATTTTTTTTTAAAAAAAATTAAATTATTTTTGTGTGCAAAACTGAAAATTTTGTGTTTATAAAGGAGCATGATGATGGAACATTAATGTGCAAAACTAAAAAAAAAAAAACTTAAAAAATTTTTGATAATGTTCTTAGTTTTAAAACGGAAAAAAAAAACTGATAATATTCTTGATTTTATTAGATAGTTAAATCAAATCAATAAGTAGAAAGGCAAAAATATTTCTCATGCTTTGTATTTTTTCAGTAGTTAGTGAAACAATTATCTAAAATATTACTATGCATGTAAAATTAATAATATTCTTAGTTTTAAAAATCAGAAAAAAAATGGTAATGTTCTTAATTTTACTAAATAGGACTATTGGTTTAAAAAAATCTTAGATAGGACTTGAAGTATCATAACATTTATAAATAAGATTTTTGAGTAATTAATTCTTAAAAATAAATGTATTCATAAATTAATAAGAGTAGCAAGCACTTATTAAAAAAAAATTGAAAAGGAACAAATTTAGATGGTTTAATGATGTTTAACAAAAATATAAAGAAAAAATAATAACAAATAACAAAATACATATGGTATATATTTTTTAAGAGCCGTGTACGGTAAAATTTTATAGTTAAAAAAGTTTGTCTTTATTGATATTTTTTAGAAGTTATATTAAATTTTTTTATAGAACAGACTTTAAAAATATAAAATTTATTTTAAATTTAAAATAATAAAAGTCATTAAAATATAAATAAATAAATAAATAAATGAATCACAAAAAAAAAGTTAACCCCAAACAAACGCCCGGTTGAATTGATTTGGTTTTGTATTCTCAATCTCAACTAGAGACTACAGTACAGCTGACTTAACATAATCAAAGCGAATTTCATATAGGAATGAATGATGAATGGAAATCTGCTGCCATGGCCGCTTTTTTATTGTGGGTCCTACCTCAGAGGATTAACAGAACAGAAATGACAGACTTTTTAATTTTTTATCTTTTCAATCCTTTACAGACACATATAAAAATAAAAATAAAAATAAAAACAAAAAAAAGTAACCGACCACAATAAATTGAGGGTGGTAAAAATTCTCCAAAATGGGGTCCCACCCAACAGAATCTTTTGCAATTCATTTCTGGTCGGCCGGGTGGTCAACCGGCCGGTTGACCGGGTGGTCGACCACCTTGGCAAATTTTTTTTTTTTTTTTGGACTGGTTTGAACCTTTTTGTGAACGGTCTGAACTTTCTCCGGGGCGACCGGTTGGTTAACCGGTTGGTCAACCGGATGGTCGACCTGTTCGTCTCATCCCAACGGTTAGGAACAGTGATTTGCTGAAATGCTTCGCCTGCACTCAGTTTGGTACCATTTTTGCTGAATTCTGGATTTGATATCGATTTGGTGAAACCGTTGGAGCGTGAAAAAGTGAGTTTTTCATCAAAATTTAAATCTGATGCTGGGTTTGATTCACCGTTGAAGATGGTCTAACAGAACAGAAATGACAGACTTTTAATTTGTTATCTTTCCAATCCTTACAGACACATATAAAAATAAAAAATAAAAATAAAAATAAAAACAAAAAAAAAGTAACCGACCACAATAAATTGCGGGTGGTAAAAATTCTCCAAAATGGGGTCCCACCCAACAGAATCTTTTGCAATTCATTTCACACCCTTTCCAATTTTTTCCCTACCCTACACCATATACAGATATAAATGTAAATAACCCAGAAACAGAAACTTAAGAAAGCACTGCCAAAGAAACAAAACTTGAGGACACAAGACAACTGTCTTTGAGAGAGAGAGAGGGAGAGAGAGAGGGCGCACTTTATTTATTGAGTTTGAGATATTTGTTTCTTCTTCTTCTTCTTCTCTGTGGATGGGGGGATTTTAGGAGGAGGGAACAAAGCAACAGCTACAACCACCACCTACTCTTCAAATTTCAGTCATCATCATCATCATATTCATATGTGACTCTTTACCAAATCATAGTTTCTGAGACATACATACTACCACAGCATGCCCGCTTAAAGAGTTTCCAAAGAATCTTCACATAAAAGTGAGTCACTTGTTACTTTCTTTTTCCTTTTTTCTTATCTTTTTTTCTTCTCGATCTTACGCTTTCTTCTCTAATTTTCTCACTTTGTTTATTGTATTGGGTTGAGTAGCTTTTGGGTTTCAAGAACTGGGTCAACTTTACTTTTTCATGAAATTTTGTTTAATTCATGCTTATGATTCCTCACTTCACAAATAGGGTTTACCTTTTTTTAATTCCGACTTTATCAATAATCGAAATATAGTTGCGTTTGATTAGGGTGAATTCTCTCGATTTGGGGTCCACCAGAATGCTCTTTCGGGTTGGGTAATTGAGTTTGTTCTTGTAAGTTCATTTTTGTGCTCCAACCAAACTAACGGTGTGTTTGGTTGGTGGATTTGGAGAGGGAATTGGAAAGGAAAAGGAGAAAGTGTGTGAAATTAAGTGAAATGTAAGTATATTTTACACCAAACTTTTCATTTTTCCTTTTCAAATCCTTCCTCAAATCTTCCAACCAAACACAGCATAAAGTTTTCCCAGTTCTTGACGAAATGGTGTATTGTTATTTGGGTTTTTTGTTCTGAATGTATTCTGAGTTGGGTTTTCCCTCTCATACTAGTTCTAGTCAAACCGTTTGAGCTTCTACTTAACTGTTATGGTGTCACCCTTCTGTCAAACTCTGTTTGGTTTCTTTCCTCTGAAATGCACTTCTGATTGCAGTTTCAAAGCATTTTATGTTGATGATGTATGTGCGATTCGGGCTGATTGGGTTTTTGAAGACAGACAAAACGAATCCTCCCTGGAAGTTCTTCTTCTTGTTTTTCATATTTACAAACCTTCTCTGTTTCGGGTCGTGACCTTTTGCATTTTTTGATGATCTAGGGTTTATTATGGAGATGGAGACTTGATGATACTTCATTATGGAAGATGGTGCTTTTATACCTAATATAATGCTGGAAACACTTTCAGACAACACTCTGAATTTTGAACTTTTAGACGAGCTCTTATACGACGGATACTGGTTAGAGACCGCTGAAGAATCCAATTTATGGCAGCCCGTTCTGTCCACTTCTAGCCCTTTAAATTTCTCTTCGTATTGCCCTCCTAATTCAGAGACTAAAATGGACCATTTGAATCCAAACCCACATAAGAAAAGCTGTGAAGAAGGAACAGAAAGATCATATTTTGGTGACAATCTGCCTCTGGTTTATCCCCAAATGGATAACCTTATTGGAAGTCAAACACAAAACATGGAAGTTATCCTGTCTGCAGCATCTCCGGGCCAATCAGAAAATTTTATGGTCGATGGCACTGAAATGAGCACAAGATTGTGGATTGCACCAAGTGCAAATCCAAGGCCGATCTTCTCTGTGGAGAAGAGATTAATGCAGGCAATTGAGTACCTAAGAGAATCGACAAGAGATAGAGATGTCCTCATTCAGATATGGGTGCCTATAAAGAGAGGAGGCAAACATGTCCTGACCACTAACAACCAACCGTTCTTTCTCAGTCCCAACTGCAAGAGTCTTGCAGATTACAGAGATATTTCGAGGAACTATCAGTTTGCAGCGGAGGAGAATTCAAAGGACTTTTTTGGGTTGCCTGGCCGTGTTTTCTTGAACAAATTGCCGGAGTGGACTCCTGATGTTCGATTCTTCAGAAGGGAGGAATACCCACGTGTTAATTTTGCTCAGCAGTATAATGTAAGCGGGTCTATTGCACTTCCTGTTTTTGAACGGAGCAGAGGCACCTGTTTGGGTGTTCTTGAGATTGTGACTACTGCTCAGAAAGTCAATTATCGCCCTGAACTTGAAAATGTCTGCAAAGCACTCGAGGTAACTAATGTTTTTACTGTTTTTAATGTCTAGTTTGTTTAAACTATGAAGATCTAAATAAACAAAATTTAGGTTGCATATGGATATGTAAATTTGAATTTGATAATAGATTTAAAATTTTTGTTTGGATAAAAAATATACACGGAGGATTTGAAATTTGGTGATGATATTTACACTACTTCTTTATATGTGTGTATATATACATGTGTATGAATATATATATATATATATAATAAGCTTATAGGGAAAAAAATAAATAAATAAACTTTCATATATAATTCATATTCATATTGTAAGTATACATTAATGATTTTGATTCTGGAGATTGATTAGTACTAGAAAAGGTGGTGGATGTTATATGTATATGTCTACACACACACATATATATAGAGAGAGAGAGAGAGAAAGCGAGAGAGAGATGGTTTTGGAATTGAGAAATGCTTTAGACCATTAATTAGTGGTGGCTCTAATGATGTGGCAGTAGGTCCCACCCACTACCAGAGTGTGTTTGTGCCTTGTTTTTTCTTTTCTTTTTTTCAATTGCCACCTCACTAGTTGTGGGATTAGTGATGGCAAATTAGTGGTCTATAGCATTGCTCTTTGGAATTTTCCAACACCAGCCAACAATTTTCCTTCTAAGAGGCATAAGGATGTTTGTTGTGTGATTGGCAACAGTGAGTGATATATACATATCTATATATATGCGTCGGTGTTACAGTCTAACGAAGGGTTGGAAAGAAGTTGAGGGAGAGAGAGGAGCTTGTGTGGATTTGAAATAACGCCTGTTCAGACGTTTTTTGAAATATGTAGCTTCAAGGCACTTAGGTCATGTTTGATTCACAATATTAATAGTGAAGTATTAATAGTCCTAGTAAATTAGTGTGGTATTCACTATCCAATTGGATTAATATCCATTGGATTAATAATCCCACCCCTACCCTATTACTAATAATCCTACAAATTTGTTGGATTAATTATCCATTGGATTAATAATCCTAAACAAAAATGTTAAAACAAATATAGGATAATTGGGCCCACGGATTAATAATCCTAATCCCACATTGTAATCCACCCAATCAAACATGCTCTTAAATCCACAACTGGATTCATAAGGATTTGAAATCATAGCTCCTTATTGACTATCCAAACATATCACATAGATTTGAGTTGTGAATTTCAAATCCACATGATCTGAATCCTTATATCCAAGCAAAGCCTTTTTTCATTGAAGACAAAGGAAATTTAAAGAAAATCTGGACATGACCTGTTGAGTATCCAGTGCCAGTCTGATAGCGGCATGTTATCTTGAATTTTTGTCTAGCATTTGTATAATTTACATGATTTATTCATTTGCTCCTAGCTTTCTAAATGTGCCAGTTTTGTTCAGCTTTATTCATTCTATTGTGTCACTTGCAACCAAGTCTATACTAGAGCATGACATGCTGATGGGGATCGGGAAGGCATTGGATGACAATAAATTGCAGAATATAGGAATTTTAGTATATTTAATAGGATTTTATTTCTTTATTAGTAGTTTTCTATTCCTTTTGGTTTCTTAATTAAATAGTGCTTATGCCTTTTTGGGGGACTAGATGTGAATATTGACTATTGAGATTGATAACCGAGAACATTTGCTTGGGAGTGCAATGCCCAGTAGTTTCTTCACTCTCTCCTTTGTTTTTGGTGCTACATCACACTCTCCCTCATGTTCTTGTCTGAATAAATATTTCTACTTGCAGGCCTTTGATTTAAGGAGTTCTGAAATATTGAGTCCTCCCACAATAAAGGTATATGGATAATATCTGGAAAAACTTGTATAAAAATTAAAAATTCATTCCTAACATCACTCACGGATATGCTTCTCTATTAGGCTTGTGATGATTCTTACCAATCGGCATTGAAAGAGATTCAAGAGGTTTTGAAATCTGTCTGTGACGTGCATGGACTACCTTTAGCTCAGACTTGGGCTCCGTGCATTCAACAAGGCAAAGCTGGGTGCAGACATTCCGACAAGAACTATGCTCGTTGTGTTTCCACTGTTGATTCTGCTTGCTACGTTCCGAATCTGCAAGTACTAGGCTTTCACGAAGCATGCTCCGAGCACCACCTGCTTAGAGGTGAAGGCATTGCTGGGGGAGCATTCATGACGAACCAACCCTGTTTTGCCACTGACATTACTGCTTTTAGCAAGACTGAATATCCTCTTTCTCACCATGCCAGGGTGTTTGGATTGCGTGCCTCTGTAGCAATACACCTTCGAAGTGTCTATACTGGATCGGCCGATTTTGTCTTGGAGTTCTTCCTTCCGTTGGATTGCCATGATGCTGAAGAACAGAGGCATATGTTGAGTTCGTTATCCTCTGTGGTACAACATGTTTGCCGGAGTTTACGTGTTGTTACAGACCAGGAGTTAGCGGAAGAAACCATTGTCCCTACGGGCGGAGGACTTGATGAAGAAAACACCCGGGAATTGGTATCTTCGCTTTCAAAAGAACCCTCTCGAGAAGAAGAATCGTCATGGATTGCCCATATGATGGAGGCTCAACGAAAGGGTAAAGCCGTTGCTGTGTCGTTAGGGTTCCAAAAGGAGGAGCCGGAAGAGTTGTTCAAGGTGACAACCCATTCGGATAATGATGGGATGGAGTTCAATTTTGGGGAGGCTTTTTTGGGGCATAAGCAAATTCATCAAGATACTGGATCCAAAGGAAGTGCCAAGAGCAGCGGAGATTTTTCTTCTGTCGGCAGACGTCGTGTATCAGGTGGCAGAAAACCAGTTGAAAAGAGACAGACTAAGACTGAGAAGACTATTAGCTTGCAAGTTCTTCGACAATACTTTTCTGGGAGCCTGAAGGATGCTGCAAAGAGTATTGGGGGTAGGAACATTATTAATTCGTTATTATTCAAACAAATTATATTTGTTCTATTCTGAGTTAGGTAGTTTTCATACTCCACCAGAACACTGAGTAAACTCTTCATTAGGCACTTTAGCCTTTCAGGATGTAGTTAGTCAGAACACCATGAGAAGATTTCTTAAAATTTTTCGCAGCCCAGAATCCATTCTCCACATTAAAAAAAAAGAAAAAAAAAAAGAAAAGGGTTTCTATTGTTTAAAAAGTGAAAAGAAATGGAAAATATGCTCAAATCCCAAATTTGGAAAATATATAATGAAATCCACTATCAGTTCAATGACTTCTAATGTAAGCTCATCTTTAATTCAATTTCTTTCATCATCGTTCCCTTTCTATTTGTGTTTTCACTTCCATCTTTGCTTATTTATTGTAGGTGTCCCAGTATTATATGATAATTCCTTGACGAAATCTTGAGCTTATTTAAATTATTCCTCATTCCAAATAACTTGCAATTGTCAAACCTCTTATAATGTTATGGATTCCACTGTTGCTGACTACAAGATTGGGATTGATGTTTAAATTTTGTTCAGGAAACCATTAGATCACAAAGTTCTTAAGAGTTCAAAACTGTATGCAAGTTGTTCTTATAATGTCTCGGTTACATTGAAAGTTCTTGTTCTTGTCATATGATTTCATGCAAATTAGCCATCATCAGCTTGCCTGTGATTCGCTTACCTGGTTTGTTCCGTTTTGCAGTGTGCCCCACTACCTTGAAAAGGATATGCAGGCAACATGGCATCACTCGGTGGCCTTCACGAAAGATAAAAAAGGTCGGACACTCATTAAGGAAACTCCAAAATGTAATTGACTCAGTGCAAGGCGTCAAGGGTGCTATTCAACTCAGCTCGTTCTACACCAACTTCCCAGAACTAAGTTCTCCAAATTTACCTTCCACGACAAGCCCTCTCTCCACATCGAAGATGAATGATCAGTTGAAGCAGCACGACACCCAACCTGAGGCCAGCCTTTTTAGCCCTGTAACCACTACCTCAAAATCTCCCTCCTCTTCCTGCAGCCAAGGCTCCTGTGCAAGTTTCTGCTGTTCCACAGAAGCTAAGAAGCTGCCACCTGTCACTGTCCTTCACGCCTCAGGTGGTGGAGATGCTGTATTGGTAGAACAGCCCAGTGGGGTGCTAAAAAGAGCATGCAGTGATGCTGAATTACACAAATCGGGTCAAGAGGAAACCAAGCTTATTGGAAGATCCAAAAGCCACAAATGTTTCAGTGAGCTTCCAATGCTTGATGCCGTGCAGACTTCATTACCAAAGAGTGGCAGCCAGGTTTCAAGACGTGGGAGCAGTTTTAAAATAAAAGCTACTTTCGGGGAAGAAAAGATCCGATTCAGCATGCAACGAAATTGGACTTTTAGATATTTACTGCAAGAGGTCGCAAGGCGTTTTGGTATGGAGGATAGTAGTAGGATCGACATCAAGTATTTGGACGATGATTCTGAGTGGGTCCTTCTGACATGTGATGCTGATCTCGAGGAGTGTATAGACGTGCACAGATCATCTAGGAGCCACACGATTAAACTCACAGTTCACCAAGCTTTGAATTTGAGCCTTGGGAGTTCTATTGGCAGCAGTGGTGCACCTTAACACACACAATGATCTGTTTGTGGTGACTTGGGTTTAAACTAATAATAATAGAAAATAAATGAAGTATATATAGCTATGATCTTTTGAAGTCTGGTCGGTTTGTTTTCTTGATATAGAGCAAGTAGGTTTTTTTTTTTTTTTTTTTTTTTTTTTTTTTTTTTTTTTTTGTTCCTTATAAGTGTTGGAATGGAGGGAAGTTAATGTTTTCCTTGTATGATGACACAACTGTCACTAGCTAAGCTAGATTTGAGATTTGAGCACTTCAACTTTCAGAGTCATGTAATGATATCAATACAATTTTTGGCCGGCCTTCTGAGGCTGGCCATCTACACCTTTTTTAAGTAATGAGAATTGACAGATGCAGTGAAAAAGTCTTTTGATTCTGCATTTGCAACTAGTTTTGTCTTTTGTACAAAGGGCATCCAAGTTATAATGCAAGCCAAAAAGGTTCTTTAATGCTTGGATTTGTTGAAATATTTTTAAATATTCAAAGTTGTTTTGGGTTTTTCAAAAGTTTCCATCTTATGTTATTTATTTGCTTTTAGGAAGCCTTGTCCGGCATAAGAAAAAGATGAGAAAAGTAATGTATTAATAAATGAAGTTATGAAAGACTCTTAATTTAAAGAGAATAAAGGCCATACTAATATGTACGAGTGTGCTTCACCAAAGATATTTAAGAGTCTTTTTGTCGACAACGTAGGCTCGGTGTGCATGATTAATGGGGACAAATAACATTTTAAGGATAGTGACCTATTTGTCAAATGATATTTCTTATAACTTTTTTTTTTTTAATTTTTTTTTTTATAGGAAACTAAACATAAAAATTGAATTTTGTTGACAACATTTTTTTTTTCTTCGCATTTTCTAGTTTAACCAACAAAAAAAAAATGCTTTTTCCGTTCAATCCTTTCTTTTTCTTTATTTTTTCCCTCTCCACAAATACTGCTTTGAAACAAAACAAAAAGGATTCCTAATATAATTTTGGTGTATTTTCGTGCCTAATATCTTTCCAATCATAGGTGCTTGCTTAAGGGTTAATTACAATTTACCTCCTTGTGGTTTAATACAAAAACACATTACCTCCCTAATATTTAAAAATGTACACATAAACCCCTTGTGATTTGGAGTGAGATGCAAAATTAACGGATTCTATCAAAATTAACAAGGTGTGTTATGCACTCACTAAATTGAGCATGTGACAAAATTAAAATATTAAATGACATTTTTGCCCTTTTTTCTTTTTGTTTACCTTTTTTTTTCCTTTCTCTCTCTATTCCATTCTTCTTTTTTTTTTTTTTTCTTTTGTTTTTGTTCTTCATTCTCTCTCTATATATATCCTCTCTCCTTTTTTGGTTCTCTCAGCCACTCATCAGCACATGTTCTTCTCTTCCCCCTCCTTTAATAGCTAAAAATCTACACCCACCTACATGCAATATTGGTTCCCACCCATTCGGTAAACAAAGCACCCCTTACTTACCTCATGGACTAGCCATGATTGACACCAAAACCCAACCTCAAATACAGAGGTGTTGTGCATATTAAAACTCACTATAGGTGGTGTGTCGTGGTGTTGTGCACAAAACAAGGGTGTTGGGTTGGCCTTGCTAATTTTCACATATTTATGGTGAGCATGTAAACGTATACATCAATTCAAGGGAACTTTTATTGATTAAAAAAAAATTAAAAATTTCAAGAGAATTAATTTGCCAAAGTGAAAGCATTAGTGGCCAAATCTTCTCACCTCATATATCATGTCCGCCATAAAGTTATAATAAGAATTAAGTTTTGGATTTGTGATTTGTGATTTGAAATTTGAAATTTTCTTTCCTATCTCCTGTTGTTTGGATCTGCAGTAGATCACCATTGATGGTAGCTATTTGGGGGGTTTATTCAGCCATGGATTGGCTATCTTGGGTTAGAACCAAATCCTAAAATTCTTCTCTGGTTCTCTCACCATCTGCATAGTGCTACTTATAATTCTTGCAGAGGCACAATGAGTCGGCATCTCAGTAATAGCACTGGCATGGATATATATATTATCCTTGTGTGTGCAAATATTTAAATAATTTACCTTTATGCATGCAATGTGAAATAAGTTTGCTTAAAATAAACTGTATAATGTGTTCTTAATTTAAAACAAATTTTTATACTAACTACATTAAGCGTGTCGTGTTCAAATTGATATTGTTATAAGGTGGTCAAGTTAATGTCTAAGATAATTGACACGTATAGTCAAATAGGTCATGTTAGTGTTGGAGTGTTTTGGACATGAATTAGCGATGACATGACATGAAAATGACATAATACAATCCCTACTATTTGAAGTTACATAATACCATTTGAATTTAAAAGAAAAAAACAATTTGTTTTAAATATGTTACAAAAGTCCACATTTGATTCATGAACCAAACAACAGAGAAGTGGAATATTACATTTTTTTTTTTTTTGGAAAGGCAACAAAGAAAATTCATCATCATTAAAAAGCTGAAATACAAAGGAGGAGGACAAGAAGTTCATAAAAACAAAAGGGAAAGAAAACAAAATAAAAACGAAAGGGAAAGAAAAGGATAAGAAAAGAAAAGGGAAAGAATAAAAAAAATACTGTTGAACAAAAGTGAATCTTTTAGTACATTTAAGCTGGCACAAAGAAACAAAAGGCTGATCTTCTACCCACTTTCTCACCACATCTTGATGGTGGACCAGACATTGAAATCATCTTTCTGATAAAAAAAAGACATTGAAGTCACCTTCAAACCACCAAGAAGAATCAAGGAAGATACATGTACCTAAAAACACAGGCACGCACGCACACATATTAAAAACAATGCAAGCCTATTTGGTATTGTTTTCTTTATCAGTTCCCTTCTCATTTTTCAAATTTTCCACAATGAAAGGGTTTAGAAGGCTGAAAACGCTATTGTTTTCGTTTCCTTACCATAGATGAGGTGCATTCTGAGACAGCATCCTGCAGAATATAGGATAGTCCAGCCAGAGATGATCTATAACATTTGATCATGAGAAGCAAACAATACTCCAACTTAGCTTAAATGCGACTCCTCTGCAAGAATACATCCACAAGACAAATTAATATTGCTGAGACCATTTATTGGTGATAAAGAAATTCTAAACAGAAATATTGTGTAATCGTAAGGTTTATGCAGTTGGGCTGCTAAATCTCCCACAACATGAGGGCTACTTACACTATAAAATTTTCTAATATGGATTTTACTAAGCTGAGGTTGTACACATCTTGCAAGTGCACATTGGTCTAATAAAATTGCAAACCTGATTTCCATAGCAATTAGAACTGATTACCATCAATATTTGTGCATGGGAACTAATGGATCTCTTTCCTACATGAGGGTTATATATGTCATAATTGATAATTCTACTAATTTGAAGGCAATAAGTGATTTTATGACTAATATAGCATACCGTGCACAAAGTTTGGCAGCAGCATTCCCTCCTTTTCTACCTAATGTACCAACTCCATCATGAGAAAATAGAGAGAGAATAACACAACTAAACAGAGTCACACACACGCAACACTTCAAAATTATACAGTTAGTTGGGCAGGCTGACACACGAAGCATGATAGATGTTCCAATAGAACTTGATGTCCAATTTTTGATATAACAAAATTTGCAGATGAGACTGGATTCAGTTTTCTAATCAGGATTTCCATTTGATATTCAAGTGTTTGATTAGGCAACATCATTTGCAAACGAGGTTTAAATATAAAGAAAAGAGGAAAAAAAAAATGTTACAAAACTCCATAGATACGGTCAATTAGCGTCTCTCTTAGTTCCATACATGACATTAAGCTTGACAGCAGACTGCCCCTAATGAGAGCACGAATGAACATGATACAATATGATACGGTCACATTGATAAGGAAAATAAATATTCATTTTTTAAAATCTCAAAACACGATGAGGTGGGCATATGACAACAAATAAATATACATTTTTTGTATATATAACATGAAAATAATAACTTCTTTGTTTTTTACATTACAAATATATTTATATTTATTATATCTATAGTAAAAGAACGTTTTTCACATTCTATATGTAGGAAAAGAAATGTGCACAAAAATGTCAAAAAGAGTGGATATCAATTTTAAACAGCTCTATTACCAAACAAATTGGAAGTTCTAGGTCTTTAGGTTTCTAAATTTAAAAAGCCTAAAAGCGGAGTGATTACTAGGTTTGAATCTACATTATAATGATTTTTAATAATTGGCTCTCAAGTTTATTTCTTTAAACTTATAATGTATTTCATATGTATCTAAATAATGAACAGGTACGTCCCCAAAGTGTTTGAAGTGTGCTCAATTCTTTTTTTTTTTTTTCAAATAGTAGAACATGTTTGAATGCATGTCCAACACATATCGGGGCATGTCTGAAATGTGTAGGAGGCTTAGAGCATGAGGAGTGCCATTGGCATAGAGCATGTCCAAGTGTCATTCTCCAACATAGACACAACTTATGAAACATCTAAAATTCAAAAAATGAATTTATGGTTATACACAAGCTCAAAACAACTGCAAGTGGTTTAAAAGCTAGGTGCAAAATGAGGGAATATAAAGAGTTAATTATGCTGCACCCTTTGGTGTTATGGTTGTTGTGTTTCAGAGAAGGGTTGGTTACAGAGTGTTTACAGAGTGGTTCAAGATTGCAGCTTTAGCGAACAAAGCTCTCAAGAGGAACGAAGAGGTTTCACTTATGCTGGTTTGTTAATGCTTTCACCTCAGCTCCGCTTCGGTTCATAAGACCATGATTGAAGGGCGACACGCGATCCATGCGCCCTCTCCGTGCTCGCCGAATATTTTTTGGGGCGCGGCTTTTTGATGCACGTCTTTTTGATGGCACGCCTTTTATGGATTGGGCACGCCTTTTGGATGGCACGCCTTTTGAACGGGATTGGGCACACCTTTGAGGGTGCGACTTTTTAGGGCGTCCGACAAGACTCTGTAAACTGTTCCCCGAACCAATTTTTTTGATTCCGGTTTAGCTCTTTATGGGTCGACAAGGACTCTGTAAAACTGTCCGACATTGATTCCGGTTAGCTCATATGCATGTCTGACAAGACTCTGTAAACTAGTTCCCAGACATTGAGCATTAACCCTCGTGCTTAGTTTTCATACGACGGGCTCCAGCAAGACTCCGTAAACGGTCACATAAATTTTGCTCATGACATGGATCTGCTACATACCGGATCCAGACACATGACCCATACAAACGGTGTCTCATTATCGGTCCGACACGAGCCACAGTGTCTTCGTACATCGGTCTGCCACTAACCATTCGGTCTTCTTAATAAACGGTCTTCTGACCGACCTACGTGTCTCCTATCCATTTTTTATTTTCAGTATTATTTTTCTATGTTTCTTCTCTAATCTCTCCTAAAAAAAAAAAAAAAAAAGCTGGTTGGTTCGTTTCAAGGAAGAAGAAAAGCTGGGGTTTGTGAGAGAGAGAAGGAGAAATCAGCTGTGTACTTTAGCACAAATGTTGATGCTAATGGTCAGGCTTAGCTTCCGATCCATTTGGAATATTCTCTTCTTGTTTATGGTTAGCAACTTATTGCACGATACGTCTTAGAAACATAACTTGGTGATGACCAATGACTCAGCTGGGTTTCATCAGGACATTCTTAGAAGGACTCCCCATTTTTTGGTGTGGGGTTCGAGTGGGAGAATGTCAGCGCCGTTGATTGGCAAAGAACTCGAAGCTAGTGTAGAAATTCAGCGGGCAGTGAAGGCAAAGTGCCGGGCCGGCTGCCGCGCCGTATGGAAAGGAACATACAGTGGCCTAACTCTCTATGGGCTCTGATCACCTGTTAAAATCTAGATGTGATTATTTGATTGTTATTGTCTGTATATTATCAAATGGTGAGGGGCTCCTATATATAGGGATGTAGTTGAAGCAGTACGTAGTAGTAAGGTGGTAGTACGTAGGTGTGTAGTAGGTAGGGTAGGTGGTGTGTAAGTGTAGGTAGTGGTTGAGTGGTGATGGTTAGGTTTTAACACTTAGCATGTCCAAGCACAATTTGTATTATAGCCGGATAGGTGCCTTAGGTAGTGTAAGGGAACACTCACTTCTCAAAAAGTATGATGTACAATC